GGTACAGCCCATACAACGAATGGCACGTTATCCTTTATTACTGAAGGAGTTTATAACAGTAAGTTTATTTTCAACTGATTGAATTATTATGAAACTATTAGAATTTTCTAAAAAAATCTACTTCTTTTAGGCTTTGTTTAAAAATCGTGAATATGTTATGAAGCCCTTAATTGAGTCCTGTTGTCGATTAGACAAAAAAGTACGCACACTGCTAACGACGACCAATGAATCCGAAGTCATAAATGATATTGTGGACTGTAATGAGGTAGGTATTTAATATAAAGTGAAAGTTTTTTAACCAGATACCTAGAGGACCAGTAATTTCCTTAGGAGTATCCATTCAATATAACTTTTACTTATTAGTTTATGTAAAACACTTTTAATGGGAAATATAATATTGTTTTGTTTTTATATTTCAGTTCAATGTATTCTATCAAGGAAAATTTCGTAAAGTGAGCGATTTTCATGTTTTCGATCATACACTCAAACGTAGTTACAAAGCAAAAGTATTCATCTTTGATAAATGTATTATCTATACAGAGATTAAGGGAAAAAATCTAGTCTTCCATGGTCGCTATCCGTGCGAACATATTGGAATTTCAGCCAAAACAAAATCCTTCACACTCTACTATGAACGACGAAAGCAGCAAGAATGTGAGTTCAGTGGCGATGCGGCATTGGTAGAAACCTGGTTGGAGCTAATACGCGACATGATAAACTCATATGTATCGGAAGAGCGTCAGAAGCTCCAAGAACGCTATTCCAGAGAAAACGATCACTTACACCCGAGACCGCTGAGTCTTTCACTATTTCGTGATTCAAATCGTTTTAGTTCGGATAGTGGCATAGGAAATATTTGGGTTATGCCGAAACCTGAATCAGAAAGCGAAACGGCATCAAATCGTACCACATGGTATGCAGTGTCATAGTCCAGGGATAGTTTTATTTTACAGAAATATTTAAAATATTCAAGTTCGGTTTGAGTAGAAAACAGTTGTATTAGATAATTAAATTGTAATATATGCCAAATATTTTTAAATTTATTATTTATTCAAATAATATAGATACATACTATATTAATATAGATACTATATTAGTTAATTAATTTATAAAATGTTAAAGTAAATAATATATTAAAGTAATTTCAACTAGCAATAAAGTATATTATATTATTAAATATAATATGAAACTTGTCTAATAATTGAAGGCTATAATTGGTAATTTATTTAATCTTTTAATTATCGATATATATGAAGTTATTCTAACTGAAGAATATCTCAATTTTAACACAAAGGTAATACTTTGAAAAATAATTATATTTTTGAAGGCGAGTATCTTGAGCCGTAATGGCAAGAACAGAGAAAAAGTATCTATGACAATTTTTTTTTAAAAAAAGTTTACGAAAAAAAAAATTGCAAACAAAAAATTGAAAATAATGTTAAAAGTGATTTAGTAGTACAAACCCAGTTTTGGATATAGCATATTTCATCGATTCTTTTGAAAGGAAATTTATGTTTATCTTGAATGTAATTCACTTCACGTAACTACAACTATCAGCTTTAGAATAACGACAACATGATTATAACAGTTGGAATATATAATTGTTGGGTGTTTTTACAATTTATCACTGTAATTAATAATAAAATAATAATAAAATAAAAATTACTCAAACAGTACTATTTAAGATAGATACAGTACATTATATGCCCTTAAAAATCAGTTAAATTTTACAATCACTTTCTCTAAAACATGATAGGGACTCTAGAATTTCACTAAAAAGAACTTGACTTCATTGTTGTTCTTTATATAGTCTATTGTTATCTTTTAGACAAATCTAACACTTTGTTATCAATACCCCGTCTTCTTCATTATCCTATATTAAATACAATTAGGAATCCCTAAACTTGATCACACAGTATTTCCCTAACTCTTCTTCTTGTAACCCCAAGCATCATTATCACTGCAACATCGTCTTCAAACTTCATGCTATAACCGAGCTCATAAAGCCGCTGAATCTACACCATGTCAATTGTAACCCCAAGCATATTTATCAATAAAGTATCATCTTCCATCTCTTATATTCAAAAGAATTAGCAATCGTTTAACTTGATCACAGTGTTTCCTTAACTCTTGTTCTTGGGAACCCAAGTATCATTATCACTGTAATATCGTCTTTAATACTCACGCTATAATGGAGTAAGTAAAGCCGATGAATGTACGCAGTCTCAATATCGTAATGAAGTTCAAACAGTATTAGTATGTGGCAATGACTAGTCAGTATGTATAGGAAGATGTTTTATCATCTGTATAAGTTATTAAACAGCTTAGCACTTCATCTGTATTCTATTCTGATCTATTCTATTCATTACTGCAATCGTAATGATTCGTGTATATTTCACTTATATTAAAATTTATTTGAGAATACATTAGTACGGATTGGTTTGTGTTAAGAGACTTGAATACAATTATGTCGTTGTTGTAAAATGTTGAATTGAAAGCAGCAATATACATTTAAAATTCAAAATTTTTGAATTTTAAGATTGAATATTTTATTTTTATTTCCGAAGTGATGTCACACGTCTCGATGAGTGCGAAATCGTTCAACTGCTGAGCGCTGAGTGAAATATTCAAATGATCAACGATTTGCTTTTCGTCAGCGGCGCTCAGATACTTTATGGAAAACTATTTCTACAATATCGCGTTTGTATAGACTTTAAACTGTGGAGTACTATAGACCCGGAATGATGTGGTGGGGATAAAAGTACAAGATTTTTGTTTACATTCCAACAAGCAGCGTGTGACCTTAGTCGCGAACAGTTCAAAATTGTTTTGTATGCGGCTTTATATTTACAATTTTTTCGCATATATTTTATTTTTTTATTTAAGTTTTGAACAATTTTAGTAAAATTTTTATTAATAATAAAAAAAAACTATAAAATATTTAATAACAAATTGTGCTTTTAAAAAGTTTACTTAAATGTGAATTTTATGCTTGAGTTCTAGATCTTTTATGTGGAAAGCGCCTTATGCTGAAATATGTGATATTGTGGGAATTAATTAAAGTTAATGGCTTTAATGATTGATTTTGTGGGCAGGGAATGACAAATCTATAAAAAGTATTAAACAAAAATAAATTATTAAAAATATTTATAGTGTTAAGTGAAATTGGTTTAGTGATTGAAATGATTTAGTTAGCAATTATTTAATATAATTTTATTAAAATAAAACTGCGTAAATTTTGCAAATGGAAATTAAAGATTTCTTCAAAGACTGTATAATATTAATAGTGACAGTTAAGAGCGGTATTTTAAGTCTTCTGGAGGCATTGTTTTTATATACGTATAGGAAAAGACTAAAGAGGAACAACAGCTATCAAAATCAGCAACCAACTGCAAGAGAAGAGAAGAGAAGAAGATCACAGTAGTCCGAAATGTTTTTGATAACAACGTCCATACAACTAGTATAAATTTTATATTAAAGATATTAAACATTTTGACTGCTAAATATTCTTTTACTGGAAAGCACGTTATTAATATTATTGGAGATTTATGTATAATAGCATCATATGTTAATATGAGCTATTATGTTGTTATTAATGTTATTTATTAAAAGTGCAATAAGTTAATACTACTTTTTCAGAATAATATTTTATTCAGCTTTTATTATATACATTATCAAGTAAAGCAATAAGTTAAATAATGTCATTACAGAACCAAGAATCTTGTCAAGTATATAAATTTTATTACAATGTTTATGATGTCAAACTCCTTTATATGTGGTTTGATTGATACACTGAATTCCTGTTTTGCATTGTAGATTCAAAAATTGAATTTTTGATTATCAAGAAATTCAATTATTGATCAGATTCATTTTTTTATTGTGTTTTAATACGAGTGTTTTAAAGCTACTCTTATTTTGAGTAATATGCTTATATTTTATTTTTATACAGATAGTCCATTCTATTTGAATATAAACTACATCTGCCCAAGTGCATAATCTTATGCACTTAGAAAACTTAGTTTCCTTGAGATTCTTACTAGCCAAGAGCTGTATATATAAATTTTCATTAAGGTTTCGTAAACTATTGATAAACTGATGTTTATCAATATCTATACTGTGTAGTTGATATCAGTTATTTTTTTAAACAGTTAATATACGAAACTAGACAAACTAGTCAGACTATATAACCTTTTCTTGTGTTTTTTGAAGATATCTTCTAAAATTAAACCAAAATGTGCAGTTTTATATAATGAATGTTATTATTAAGCTTATTTAATATTCTGACAACCAAAATAAGCAAAATATCTTAAAATAAAAATTCAATAAAAATGTAGAACAAATTAAAAGGTTGAAATTTTATGCATGTTTATAAACAAATTTCGCATTAAAATGATATATACATTTGTTGCTAGAGTTCGATGTTCTATAAATAATTGTTTAATTTTATATAATTTTTGATTTTTTCTATACGTCACTTATATTGGTTCTGTTTATAAACAAATTTTCTTATTGCGCGCTATGAAAAATGAAAAATGTTGCTAAAATGTTACTAAGCTTGCATGCTTATCAATTTTATTACTGTCATGTCTGACCAAGTTTACGATCCTCATAATGCACTAACACAATGACACTTAAGTTCTCTCGGTTTGTTTACAAAAATTTCATAGCGAATTTGTTTAGCAACTCATTTTTATTAAAACAAGTGTCAGTTGAGTTTACGATCTTGTCGCGTTAGCAACATGGCGCGGTTGGCTAAAAATATGTTTATAACGTCATAAATGATTAAGTTGATATTGAAATTCAATGTTAAAAGAACTCTCGATTTCGGTTCGCAAAAAAGTTGATTTTTTTTAATTAAAAACTTGCGAAATTTTATATTTGATTTTTTTTGTATTATTTGTCTATTATTTGAAAAAAAATTTAAAAATTATTGCTTAATATATTGTATTCGAAACTAAAATAGAAAATGTTGTTCGGTTTAGTGTATTTGACATGGTTCGATACCTTAACAGTTACATTGTCAATTTTGGCCATTGTGATTATACAAATAATAAATTCAATTTTGGCCACAGATAAAGATACTACGACACAAGCCACTACAGCAATTAATGGAATTTTACGAAAACAAAACAGTGAATATTGCGAAGAGTACGTCTTTTGCTTTGATAAATTCCCATTCAAATTAATATTAATTTTTCGAAATTGTTAAGGAATTGAGTGCAAAAGAGCATGAAATATGTTAAATTAATTTTGACAGCCGTCAAAATTTGCTGCTAAATTGTTTATAAAATTCACTAAATTCTTTTATGTGCTTTTAATTTTTTACTGTTTTTAGTTAAATTTTATGTTTTTTAATTGTTTGAAAAAAATTAACAATTTTTGCTTGTGCGATAAGATAAATTTTATTGCATAAATAAACCAGTTAGACTTATTATAATGTAAAAAAAATCATGAAAAATATCAGTTAAACTCTATGATTTAAATTTATTGCTTAAAATTTTATTTTAAAATATAAAATAAAATAAAATAAAATAAAATAGTTGATAATATTATATATTAAACACCAGGCAGCAAAATATCGAAATGGAAAAGGCATGAAAATTTAAAACATTAGAACACTTATAAGGGCACCTTCTTATGTATTGAAAAACCTAGGCGAACTCCCATATAAATTTCTTGAAATTTATAAATATTTAGTATAAATGCGGCATATCGCCTGAAGAGAATCTATTTTAACGTAATAATCTATATATTTTAGTAAAGAAAAAAAGTAGCTTCTAATAATTTTTGTTTAATTGTAGAATAATGTTTCGTAAAATAAAGTTATTTTATGGTTGTTGTAATAGTTAGCAAGTTTTGGAGGGAGGAGGAACGAATCTTCTTCAAAAAAGCTACAAAAGCCGTTTTGAATGGTTGGTCTATTAAAAGTAGTTAACTATTACAATAAGTAAATTCGACATAACGTTGTTCTCATATATTTTAATTCAACGATGCAAAAAAAAACCTTCCGAAAATTTTCATTTCATTATTAAAGATGAATTTGATTAGCATGATTCCATTATAGTATCTGCAATCACTTAATAATTATTTATTATTATCACTCCAGATTGAAAGTCAAGTTCTGGTGGTAGAGTTAGTGTTCAGATTTAACTGATTCATTTCAAATAATTCAATATTTGATCGTTGGTTGTTATGTCAAGTATACAGTTATTTTTTCACTTTCCATAATTTACAATTATTTATAATTTTACTACCACATGAAATCTTGAAGATGAAATCTAAAAAGATGAAAACTTGATCCATCTGAACTATCGATCGGTGCTTGGTTGTTTGCAGCGCAAAGGCAGCAGATATCTATCTGTCCACTTCCCTTAATTAGCGATTATTTATTGTTCAACTACCATATATTGTGTCAGAAATTTGAAAAGATAATAACTAGATTTATCTGACCCAGGATATATCGTTGCTTGGTTGATTGCCTATATCATTTCACTTCCTATAATTTGAGTATTTTTTGTCGTTTAACTACTATATATCTTTTCATAAACTTAAAAAGATATAAACTAGATCCATCTCGTTGAATTTAGGTGATTCTTCATCCTAACGGCTGCACAGCCGGTAATATAAGGTATCTACATAACTACTTTATACAAGCTTGTGTATTGTGTAAGCCATTTCGAGCTGCAATTTGTCTGGATATTTTCAGCAGTTTTCAATTTAAACTGTTCTTGAATCAGTGATGACATTTGCTGTTAATTTTTTTGTTTTGCAGTAACGGGATTTTTGTGCTTTTTTTATAAAGAGTTTATAAATATATATATATACATATATCTAACTATATATAATATAGTCTACAATATACTTGGACTGAGTGTATGATGCTTAAAATACAATATATGTATTTGTAATTTCCTAGGGTATCTCCCCGCATAAGTATGTAAAGTAATTATATGTGCTTAAAGAAAAACCTCAGTTCATGGATAAGATTTTTTTATTATATGTGATTAAGTACTTGAAAATATTAAAACTATATTTATTATTTCAATGTGTATTTATATAAGACTAAACGATTAGTTTATCAGCTAGCATTATATTCTCTGATACGGTAATGAGTTCTATATATAGACATGATCAAATTCCTATGCATTCATCTAAAAACTTATTTATGCGGAATCTATTAGGAAGTACTTGTTACAGTAAATAGTTACTAAGTGATTATTAATTATTTTGTGACAAATTTATTTTAACTGATAATAAAATAAAAAATAATAAAATTTTTCAAAATCTTTGTTGTTTTTTTAAAGTCTTTTTGCTTAGCTTTTTTTTATTTGTTATTGCATTTAATAAAATTTTTTCAGTTTGCCATCAAACAATGTGAACACATCTCCCCCTGTATCTGCACGTAATTCCATTAGTTCTCCACTTAATGGTAGTATTCCACAGACACCCAGTTCGGAGACACTAAGTGATGAATAGTAAGTTCCAATATTGTACATATACACATATGTATCTCATAAATTAATCTATTAAACTTATGCTACAGTTTGTTCTGTCAAATCACATCAGATAAAATAAAAAAGAAAATAAAACAAATAAATAAATTGTACAAAAGAAATATTTTTATACGCTTTTGTTTTGCATCTGTTTTTTTTTATAGCCACGAGGATGAAGATACACTCTCATTGGAGAATCTCTTTCCGTGCGATCAAACGGAAATTTATGCTTCCAAGAAAATAAGTTTCATCATCGATGAGCTCATACAAACCGAGGTGAACTATTTGAACAATCTGCGCAAAGGCTTGCAAAATTATGGCAAACTGCATGAGCGTCAGGATTTGCCAGAGGCTTTGAAAGGCTCGGCACAAAACCAAAATTTATTAGGAAATATTGGCGAGATCATGTCACTGCACGAAGAGCAAATATTGCCAATGATGCTGCGAAATCAACGAGACTTGAAGTCTTTATTTGATGAGTTTGCGGTTTATTTTGATGTAAGTAACGAAAAATAATTTAAAAAATAAAACAAAAAAATATAGGCATTAGCAGTCAATCAAAGCTAAGCCAATCCTAATGCTCAATAAATCTCAAACACTTAAGTAGCCTAAACCAACTGTGAAGTAGCTACTTATGAGTTTAGGTTCTTCCATAATTTATTGTTTTTATTCAAAGTAAACAAAAGTCTTGATTGATTTTTATGTATTGATTGATGTTATTCCTAATGTAGGTGTGACTTCAAAAAATGCTTTGCGGAAAGAAAAATTAAATAACATAAATTTATAAATTTTTAATTATTCGTTAAGTTTAGTTTTTATAAAATTCATGAGTGAAGAAGAATTTTTACCGCGTTTTTAATATTTTAATTAATTTTTATATTGGAAATCAGTTTTTTATTATTATATTTATAATTGAATTCATATTATTGTTATTGCTTTCAACGTTATCATTTTTTATAGTCCAAGTTTGTAGGTTATTTCAAGTTTAGCTTATTAGCACCTGTTTTATGACATCAGTTGAGACTTGAACTGAGCTGGCTAAGTCGTGCTGCTGTTTTGCATTTCATTAGCAATTTAAATATTTAAATAAGTTGTGTTTGATATGAAATTGATAAAAATACATAAATATAATGAATAGAGAATTATGTTTACTGGTTAGTTTGACACACACAAAACTTAAATTACTTTTCTGGGAAAAAAAATTAAAAGATATTTTCTCATGCAATATTTACTTAGATACAAAATTTTATTAGGGGTATAAGTACATTATTAATAAAACACAGAAACTGAAAATGTAGCTGGTGATACATTGTGTTACTATATATAGCAAGGGCAGTTTAAACCATCTTATCAATGACCTGATTAAGCTGATTAAGATCCTCTAAAAGGTAATTTCTGTGCATCTTTAATTTTTGCTGGGGCGTGTAATAGTAAAGCAGATCTTAAACACTTACCTTACAGTTATGAAAGACTGCTATAAGTCTGATATCTTTATGGGTTATTTTTATATAAGATCGGTATAAACAAATAAAACTATATATCTTCATCGATATAACTTCATTTTGATTACACTTTACTATCAATTTCACTTAAAATATTATCACAAATTTTTTTCACTAGTAACTGAGCACAGAGCGTTACAATGTTATATGTCTTAAAATTTTTCATTGAGTGCAGTTGCAAATATATGAATTTTTATATAGTATACTTTATATGTATATTGCTTGAAAAATCGGAGTTTTTATAACAAAAAATTTGTAGCGCTTTCATATAATCACTATTCAAATATTTTATTTATTATTT